GGGTTTGCCCTTATAGGAAGCTTTTCCGAACCCAGCCTAAAATAAACCCTATTTAATTTTTTGCATTAAATAGGGGAACTTGTCGGCAAATAAAATGGTTTCGTAGACCAAACAGATATCATATATTTTTTAGTTTATTTGATCGATCTTCATCCTTAAGTCTTGTGTTTATCCCTCAGGATAGATACAAGATTTGAGGTAGAGCTCTCTTTCATTTAAATTGCGAAAAATATGAGATCAGTTTGATTTCATATTTTTCTAAAATTATATATATATATATATATATGTAAATTAAAGCGTCCTTCCGAAGCGGGCGACGGAACTTCACTCCCAGCGACCGACAGCTTCTTACGGGCAACACCCACAAACTTTTTAGCTGCCGACATCGCTACCTGAGCACAAGTTAAACTTATTCATTGAAACCTATCCAAATATCCAATGTAGAAGCTCGAGCCGAACTTACGATCCTTATGTTGAAGCCTTTATTCATTGACGCCTCTAAATTGCCCTAATTTTGTATGTGATAAATCATAGTTTTTGGTGCTCTTTAATTAGTTAATAGTTATAAATTTATACTTATTATACTTCTAAAACTTAATTAATTAAAGAAGATGTACTATGATATTTTGAATTTTAGTAGATGAACTGCAGGAATTCTTTTAAGAGATATAATTTGTTTACTTTTCAAAAAAAGTAATTTTGTATGCTGAGGTTTCATTATTATTCTACAAGAATTCCAATAGTACAAGCTCAAATTTGCTTCATCAAGTTTTTCAAAGCCAATTTTTTTTCAAACCGGACAAAGTTGTTGCATATATCTAAGTTAATAATCATTGGAAACATAAGATGTATACATATGAGCAAACTAGTAATATTATTGTTGATTTAACTTTCATATTTTTTTTAAAATTTTCGGTTCTGGTTTTCTAGTTTTAATCATACTTGTAGTGTCCCAATTGAATATGGGTTCTGTTCTTCAACTTCCTGAACTACTCTAGTCGAATTTAGTTCACTAGATTGCCTATAACTTTGGCTCACTTAATTATTTTGGTTATGGCATTGGTTCAGATCTCAATTAAGAATATGTAATTTTAGAGGCCAGCTCTGTGCATCTGCTATCCTTCAATGTCTGATAAATTTCCTTTTGTAATCTCTATTATGAGATTTCCATTAAGGTGAGAGATGCTATTGTTTAGCACTTGGATCCGTAATTTATACGACTTCTGCCATGTGGGTCTTGGAATTTCATAGGTATGGGACTTGCATCCAGGATTTCAACACTCTTAAAGGTTAATTGGATTTATGATGGTTGCTAACATTTTTTTAGTTGGGAGTCCATATTGGGCTTTAAGATATGAGATGTACTACTGGATTTCAACTTAAATTACTTTATGATTAGAAACAATTCCTTCAAGTCTTCTCTAGGTGCAAGTAGTAACTGAAAAATTATAAGTTACGTCCTTGTACAAACTTGAGGCCTAACTCTTTTACTCGGTTTCTCACTTTATAATTTTTTAATAATTATATTTATTGTAATAAATTTTTTTTCAATTTTGGTACTATCTAATTTATAACTGTGACTTCATTTATAATTAAATGTTTGATTTTCATGCTGCCAAATTTCTATGCATTATTTCTATCTTCATATTTATTATTTTCGTCTAGAGAAACAAATAATGTTTAAATTAACAGTTTGTGAATTGCAACTCAACAACAAACTGCAGCACTTCGGATGCAGTGGCAAAAAATATTCAAAATCGTTTACAGCACATATTTTATAAAGCATGAGAAATGGCATGGAAAGATAAAATGAACTTCCTTTGCATGAGAAGTATTGAATATTATATACATACCTCAAAGGTCAAATTCCGCGAAGATGGAGCCCACTCTTCTGCAATTCGTCTCTCTAAAGCTCGAGGATCAGCATTTGGAGGCACCCGAATGTCAAAGCCAGCCTCAGCTTCAGATGGTTGTATGTTCATGACGAATCCCTTTACAAAGATAATATCATTTTAGCAAGAGAAAAACTAAAATTTTGTATAGCAATATGATTATACTAAACCTCATTAAATCTTGGTTTATCAATAATGCATCTAAACCAAAAAACATCTTGGGCATTAGTTAAAAGGAGAAAACTTTTATCAACAAAACTTCTCATGAGCTGATAAAAATTTTGAAAAAAGTCACATATTAAAATTTCTTTTATTCAGCAAATGAAAAAAAAAAGATAGAAGGCATAGTGAATTTGAATAACTTAACTAACAAACGCCATCCATTTTCAATCAAGATAAAATATCCAAACTTTCAATGGTATCTAGGTAGCTCGACTTAGATAACCAAATCCACCACCCAAATTATTCAGTCTCAGCAGAATTCTAGTTTTGCCTGTGAAATTATCTAATTTCTTTGCAAACAAACAAAAAAACTAAGGAAATAATAAAAGTGGAAACAAATAACTAACTACCAATGAAAACAACAGATGAAAATGGATACAAATTTTTCACTAAATGGTCAACTGCCCAATGAGCTAGGACCACCATGCGAAGAGCAAATAAATGCTATTTAGCTACTAATTTCAGATAAAGGATAAATAATCCAAGCCATGTCTCACTAAAGAACTTGACGATGAGATATCTTTTTGTACCCGATTTGGCATATGGTTTCAACTTTCAAGGATGTGGAAAAGCATGCCAAAAACTTTAATGATGACTTCATTAATACATTGAGACCCATCAACTCAAAAGGAATACATTGATTAGCCATGGATGCTCTGGCATGGAGAATTGCAATCCCTGCTTGCGGAATATTATTGAGATCCTTTCTAAAAAATTACAAACTATCATGTGCAAGGAATCAAGTTGTAAAAAAGGAGAAATAAGGTAGATTTCGATCAGTTTAGACATTTTGAATATCATGTATACACTGTCAAATAAAGACAATTTTTTACAAAGAAAACCGGGCGCTGATGGGGCTTGCAAAATTCAACTACATCTTTTATTTGTAGAAAATTTGCACACTAGTAGGAATACTCAAGTAATTGGACGGACTTGTGTACAAGTTAACTTTTAGGAAATTAGTCAAAGGCAATGCAAAAGGTGCCAAGTTAGTTAGGTCCCCATACACATCAATTATGTTTATTATATATGTATAAGATGAAGGAAATTACAAATATAATTGAAGGTGTTCATAGTGTAATCACGGCTAAGATTTAAAGCCAACTAAAGATATGAAGCAAGTCTTCCTGGAGATGAATGCAGTGTAAGACTTATGTCTAGAACATTAAAATGCAGGCTTCTAAGAGGATGATTGAGACAAAGCTGAGGTTGTGACGTCAATCCTAAACCGGCGATGTGACTTGTAAGTTTAAATGAGTTATATATTTTTTCTTTTTTTTTCATACATATATAATTTTTAAAAGGAATTTAAAATTGGTTATTAAAATTAATATATTTGGTTTCCATTAACTCAAAGTTCATTTTTGAAATAGAATGTTTTGAAATTAACATTAATCTAATATGAGCCATATATTGAAATCTTCAAATTTTAGAATAGGCAAGCACCGGAGCTCGACTCTAGTGTCATGAGAAAAATATATTATTATAGTTGAATAATGATGCTGGAAAAAATAAAATCATGATTCAATAGAATAAAAATATATAAAAATTGAAATTATCTATCAATAGGAGAAAAATAGTGTTTGTAATGCCTCGATGTGAGATTGCCTTAGCCCTCACACATGAATTGATTTACCTCTTCTTTCATTTTTAATAGAGGTAGTGACGTTTAACCTAAAAATAACCTTGCACAAATCTCGAAGCAGTTTGACGAACCAAATCAAAAGCTAAATATTCAGCTAAAGAACTCATAGCCAACCGGGTGGCCTAAGATCGACCGACCGAGGACTATCTTGGCCAACCAATAACAAGCAAACATGTATGACGGAAAATATGAAGGTCTGTGATTCTTCAACGAATTAACTGAAGCCCAAACTCCTAGTCGACCTGCCATCTCTAGTAATACCAGTCTCCAGGTGCTACCACACATTGGGGGCTCACGTGAGTGCATGTGTCGTATCAGTAATATCGGATTTTAGAGTTCGTAATATTGACCCCACAGAGAACGAGGTGATTCAAAAATAGGAAAATTTTTAGCTGATCTTGTTCTTTGCTTGGAATTTAGTTTGTGTTAGAGTCCTACAAAGTAATCCTAACGTATCTAAAGCAAGTGTAACGTAAAAATCCTACTTAACTAAGAGTTGGATTGATGAATATAAGGTTCTAAATATACCCTACATTGCAATGATGTAAGTAGAGTACATGAATTGTAAAGTGCAAAATGTAAATATGGCTAGTGACAAATAAGGGCAACTCTATTCTTTAACCTCTCCCGAGTGCATAAAGAAGATTGGTTAAAATGACTTATCTAAAGCAATCCTAACGTATCTAAAGCAAGTGTAACGTGAAAATCCTACTTAACTAAGAGTTGGATTGATGAATATAAGGTTCTAAGGATACCCTACGTTGCAATGATGTAACTAGAGTACATGAATTGTAAAGTGCAAAATGTAAATATGGCTAGTGACAAATAGGAGCAACTCTCTTCTTTAACCTCTCCCGAGTGCATAAAGAAGATTAGTTAAAATGACTTTAATTCCTTAAATCTAGTTTTAAACCCGTCAAAGAATATTTCCCTAATATTTGCATCTCTTTACAAGGCATGTCAACCTATATCTCACAGTACAATGTGACTAACCTAGTCTATTCTACCATATCTCTCCCGATTCATTATGGTTCACAATACATTTTAACATTTCACTTTGTCAGAATAAAAATTAAATGAAAATCTGACGGTTAATTATCACATTCAATAATTGAAAGTAATTTCACAACACTTAATGTTCCTACACATCCTACTTAATCATCACAAGGTAAGGTAAAGAAATCTACTCAAGAAGCATGAAAGAAACAATACATCATGTCACTGAAATAAGAGAATTTCACTGCCCAAATATTTACAACAAAAATACAATAACAAAGACACAATAAACATATCTTTCTCCTTTACAATGACCTGAAGATGCTCTCCTGACTCTTGGCTGATGCTCCTAAGGGATTTCCCTATCCTCTGCACTAAAAGAAAAAGGAGATACTACAGCAAGCAAACCAACTCACGTCAATCCTCACCTTTTATCCCTTCTAGCACTCCCCTTTATCAATCTTAAGTCCTACATGCATCAATCCTTCAACAGCACCAATAGCACCAATACATAGCATATATATAGACTCATAAACATCACCCCACGACCTCGTAAGTAACTCCCCACGTTAGGCCTCCCGAACAGCCAAAACTGCTCTAGGCAGTTGCTGGCGCCTAAGTGTTAGGCTCTCGGTTTGCCAGAATCAGCATGGGCGCCTAAGCCCCAGTATTGCCACGCCTTAGCACCAAGTAGGTGACGTCTAGGCGCCATCCTCTCGGTTTGCCATGGTCGACATTGGCGCCTAGGTGCCCAGGGTCCCGGTGCCTAGGCGCCAGTCTCCTTGTGCTCCTTTTGCACCAAGTTTCCTCCACGTTTCCTTGCTCCCAATACATGTTATATCTGTAAGAAAAATATCAAAATGCATATCTTTAAAGTACAATCTCATCCATAAAAATGTACAAATAATAAAGAAATAATAGCATCTTATCTACACATCAAAATCCTCCAAACTTAAAGATTATTTGTCATCAAGTAATATCAATGATTAAATGTCACATTAGTTAACTTATAGGAGTGAGTTCTATAGAAACTATAAACAATTATGCATCAGGAGATTCATAGTGATAAAAATATGATAACATTAGTAAAATAGTCTAGTCCTAGAGTATGAGAAACTTTGCATCCAACCAAGAAAATATGATTTCGTATTTACTTCAAAAAGGAAATTAACATATGTTAATTAGGGTACATCAGATGCTAAGTAGATTGAATTTAAGCACTCCTTTTAAAAAGTTTACTAATACTTCCTAAACATCAATAAACTGAGGAATTTAGTGGAGTTGAAAATTTAAAAAGAATCTAGTGAAACCAATTTTTTATAAGATTTTCCCTCAAGCTCTTTTCATTTTATAATTCTTTTAAAATCTTTTTTTCTTGCTTGAGTCTAAGTACACATAATTTAACAAATATATGATGCTTTTTGAAAATAAATATTTTAATTAATTTCCTATATATTGGATTGCAAAAGTTACTTAACACTAGTCTAACTTAATTTACATGGAGTTAAAATAAAATAACTATGTTTCTCCTTCTTCAGGATTGTGATAGTTCTAAATGTATCCCCCACTTTCCTCAAGTTAATTAAAAATAACAATTTAAACTTAATTTACTTGGGACAAATAAGTTTATGAGAAAGTTCTCAACGCCACCCCCCCCCCTCCCCCAAACTTAATTTCAAACATTTTAAGCAATTTAGAACATGAACTTAAATGTGGAGAAAACGTACATAACTACTTCATATCACATGTGTATATCCACAAGATTAACAAGTAGAACCAGAAATAAACAGATATGTAATAGAAAATAAATCTGAACTAAACAAGATGCAGAATAAGATTAGCATCACAAAGTCTAAATATTACAACATGCATATAAAAATAGTTCCACAGTACAATATAGACTAATCCAATAAAAATAAAAACGATAGCAGGAGTAGAGAATAAAAATAACATCTTATACATCCACATCAAGGAAAATAAATACTAATCATCATCATCATCATTTTCTTATTCTTCATCATCATCCTCTTCTTCCTCCTCATAGTCCTCCTCCATCGGTTGGCTATGCTCGTAGGGCTGATAGGAAGAATACACAGGGAACTCAATAGGATCGTCTCCTCCAATCCACTGATTCATTTTGTACATCGCCAGCTGGGCGGCCTAAAAACTAGCAAATTGATTACATTTTCTTTTGTTCTGTCAATCCATATGTGACATGTGGTCGGCAAAATCATAA